TATTTATATAAAAAAATGGCTGAAGGTATTTATACGAGTTTTTCTATATACCACGGCATATTTTTTAACAACATATTGATTGCATGTAAGATAATATATTTCTTTGGGGCGACATTAGTCATGTAGCCTTTCGAGATTGATAAAAAAAGCTCTTGTAGACATTAGTCAGATGTAGTGTACCTATTTAAATTTGTGACACTAAATTTTTTGCTAACATTAATTTACGGTCTTCATTCAATGAAGGAATGAATAATGTACTTTTACTATTACGTACTGTTAATGAGATTCGACACGATAACCTTTGAATTTTCATCATACCATATGAACGTTCTTGTCCGTAGTCTGTTGCTCAGTTAATTTTACGGAAATTTCAGGTTTTTCAGCACATTTCTCTTAAAATTCTAATCGAAACTTTTAAGCAAATAAATCGGTGTATAAATACATTTCACATTGTTGTAAAAACTAGTAGGCGATTCAATTGCGTAACGAAATTATTGTTGTTTTTGTCCATTACAATTATGTACCTAGTGTATAATCATTTCCTAGTGGTCCACATCCATCTACCTGTCCGACGCTGACAATAACTAAATGACTATAGATATGACGCTACTTCATTCTTTCTTAATGCTTTAGAAACTCGTTCATGACAAAAGCGTGTATAAAACAAGTTCGTCAAAATGAGTTAGATACGGTACGACCAAGCGAAAATGAAACTGTTCGTCTGAGGTAAAATAACGATTTCAATTACACTTGGAATTCTTCGTGGAACAAGAATCGCTTGGCTTTTACATTCGATTGCTGCAAGAAAAACCGTTCTAAATGAGTAAACACTCTTTAATACTTTAATAATATTAAGCTGAACAACTAAGGTGGACAAAAAGATCTTAATGGTCTGTATTCTGTCGAAATCGCGAATTGGATCTCATCAGCACACTGTAGAGACAGTCCCAATAGAAAGACCAACCTATTTCACATGCGGTCTATATGTTTAGCTAAGGTGATTCAATCTTATTCACTCAATAACCGAATGTTTACAAATAGTTAAGGATGTAGGATGTTCTAGTTTTAGGAAAATGCGAAGATTAGCTCAGGATAGGAGAGTGTCCAAACAGTCTTAAGACTAACAACCTTATGATAATGAAGCGAATGTAATAGTTGGTCTAAATAAAGCCCATAAAATTGATACTTACTGGTGGTTCATCGCACATTTTGGTTTTCCATAAAAAGACAGCTTTGACACTGTTTTTATCAGATTTCTATATATTTGTGTAAAATTCTAATGAAATTTGTTCTACGTGTACTATGACATAAACTGATAGCACTACACAATTGTTTTTTCAATAATTTACACCATCAAAGGGATTTTTTGTAGAACCAAATAGTGGCGTTGTTTTTTCGGACTGCTATAGTATAATTTGTTTAAATAATTTTGTTTAAACCAACGAAGCGTTATCTCAACAAAAAATGCATGAGAACTCTTCTACAGCAAATTTAATGCTCTTTTGAACGGACTTGATCCCGTTCTTGTAAAAACTCCTGCTTTCTATTTAATTTTTTGTAATATAAATGTGTTACTGTGGTTTTATTATTAGTTTTGTCAATGTGCCTTTGGTTTTACATTTCTCCTCTAAGATACAATATATTTTGCTCATTACCTATTTAATTTAATTTTGGAATATATTTTTATTCCTGTATAAATGACTTTACAGTCCTTTAGAAGTGTACTATTTTCACTAAATACTGAGACGGCGTAATTGTTTATTACTACGAATATGAAAACAATTTTTTACTTGTTCGCCTATTAATACAGTAACCGAGAAAAATGTTATATATTTACATGTAAGATACAGAGTTACTGCTTCAAGAAACACGATTGTAAACAAAAGAAAACAATGATAGTATCTATTCGTGCGAATCGGATTTGTATATGTAAAACAGCCTAAAGGAAAATTACAAAGATGAAAAGGTAACGCAGTATTAGTTCTTATAGTACGTACAATACTTTTTCCTAATACATATTTTTTTATTTCTATGCGCTGTCTTTTGTGTCTAAAGTCAAGGTGCCGAAGAAAGTTTATACCTATAGTTTTATGCATAAAGTTGTTAATGCTTTATAGTTTAGTAATATAAACTTTTTTGCATTCTATTACAATTCGTTTATAAATTAGCCGACAAATACAGTTGAAAAAGTTATTAGCTATGCAACAATCAGTTAGTATTAGTTTTAAAGGAATGAGATTATAAAGAGATAATAACCATTGTTTTTACTTTTGGGTTACGCCAAATCGTTACTATTACGTATTTTTTGCACCTAATAGATTTCCCATATTTGCAACAACGACAATTTTACAATATCATGAACACGTTTCTACAAAGTAATACTCTTTTGTATCTCTTGATTTAGTTTTCCACAAACAATGTAATTAAATATCAATTATTACCAACTGTAGTCACTATAATTTTTCTGTAACTTGACTGTAACAAATTACAATAGGTAATTCAAAACGAAATAGAGCAAACAAAGTTTATTTGTCCACTTTTTGCAAACACATATACTTTAGAAATTATGTCATTTTAGCGTAATCGATGAAATTCAAATGTTTAGGTACGCTGTGTTGCGTACCGAAATAAAAATCTTTATTGACTTTTACAAATTTTCAAAAGTTAAGGTGACATACAGTTTTTCTTATTCTCAATATCGTAATGCGTTATTGTTTAATTTCATGGCAACAATGCCCAGTCGATAGGTAGAAATATTTGACATTTCTGCAGGTTCGGCTGTTTTAAACAGTATTACTGTGTTGTTTTTTATCATGCCAAATTTTGTTTCGTTTGAATGACTTTGAACGTTATTGTCGGGAATGAATTGATGTTTAGAAATTTGCATTACATAATTATTTCCCAATGTAAAAACCGCTTTATTATTCGAGAAGTCACTGACTAACGATCGTTTTTTATTTAATATACTTATTTGAAGAAATGGGTCAATAACACTAATGAACAAATGAAGAAGAAGTTATATCTTCATACTACTTAATTCCTGGTGCAGCATATTATCTCATATTTCATCAGACGAGATAGCTACACTGATTTCTCTTACTAATTTCCTATACCTTCTCACATTTTCCCCATGGTGCAGCCTTTTCTTGACCTTTTGAGTTAAGTATATTAGTGTAACACCCGTAGGAAAAATTTCCATTGAACTTCAATGGGAATCAATGGAAAATTTATAAATTCCATTCAAAACCATTTGGCATAAATGGAAAAATAATTGTTTCCATTTACAATAATTCCATTAAATATGAGCGGACACGTGTTTCGCCCACTTCACACGTGGGCATTATCAACGCGAGACTGGCTCGCGTTTAATTAATATTTACCACAGTCTCCTCCTTCCATTTTTTTTTAAATGAAGGTTTTCTTTTAGAATCTGGAAATGTAGAAATAGATAACACGCCAGATTTAACGATATGTGAAAAAACTTCAAACAAGGATATTTTTGAACCCCTATACAATACAAGAACTCAGATGAAACCATTAACACAGGCGATAGTTTAAAAATTGAATTAAGTGAAGTCTTCAAAATTTTGTAGGCTATATTTGCCATAAATTAAAAGCGCCTTNAAGGGAAATCCCATTGCGTTCAGCAATGGAAGTCCCATTGAGTTCGAGAATTCTAGTGGAAATTCCATTCCTCCTATTGGCAATTCTCCATTTATTACTATTAATTATTATCAGTGGTAATTAAATGGCATTTTTTAATGGAAATATAATGAAAATTTTTCCTATGTATAGTGTAGTATTTCTTTTGTTTAAAAATGATTATTTTGTTGTTGTGATGCATGATAAGGGAGAATCTCTTAAGTTTTCGACTGTTACTTCATATATATAACACACACATATCTTTTGAAACGTTATTTTTTAATAACCATATAAAATCCTTAATTTAATGGTTACGAATGTTAACAGGAGCTCGTGTACGTTCAAACATCTTAAAATTGCGTAAATGTGATACCCACCACACTTGTTAATATAGGTATGAATATTATAATGCGGTTGCAGAAATAATTCCTCAGAATTAACTCACCTTGCAGCAACAGGACGTAAATTGAGTCATTTGCTTGTCGATTTCAATGAACGTTATAAAATCAAATTGTTTTGACGTTGCATCACCAACTTGTGCCATTTATTTCAGTTCGCATGACTACATTTTGTAGTTGTTACACATCTATCTGCGTATCGTATCTTTTAAAACGTTGATGAACTGCTTATCGATCAGAAATTTCAATAAGAGAAAGAAAAGGGGCTAATGAAGCCGCAGCACAAGACATTGAGGTAGAGATGTGAATGAATTTTCCACTGAAAAAGACTCAATAATATTGAGAATTGTTTAAAGTTTAATCCTAATAAGTTACAATTTAGATAAACTTTCAATGAAAATTGTTCAAGTATTAACATCATTTGTTCTAATATAATTGCATTATTAATCTCATTCGTGAATTCGCGTTTAGTTAGAGTTTGTTGTTTGGTAGTCTAGATTACTTTTACAGCATTTTGTATTCAATATACATCACTATCACTATATGTTATAAAACAAAGTCGCTTCCTGCTGTCTGTCCCTATGTATGCTTAGATCTTTAAAACAATGCAACGGATTTTAATGTGATTTTTTTGAATAGATAGAGTGATTCAAGAAGAAGATTTATATGTAGAATTTCATGCATAATATAGTAGAGAAACACTGATAATTTTAGAGGTTTGTAAACCCTACGAGATAGATCAAAATAATGTACCACAGTATTGTACATCTTTAAAAGGTCTACAAAAAAGTCCGCGATGGTATATGTCTATCTCTTAGAGATATCCCACAATAACCATCTTTTATCCTTTACTTTTTATGAGAAATAATGGCTTATTTACGAAGTGATTTTAAGCAATAATACATTAAGCCTTATCCAATTAAATACTTTCAAAGACATTGTGCGTTTAATATAGATCAATATGGCTCTTTACAGCATGTAATTTAAATGAATATTTTCGAAGATATTACAGATTTAAAATGCAGGGACATGCGGTTGCGGCGGTACCGGCCGGGGGGCCGGTTTGTATTATCTAATGACAAAAAAACTGTAAATGTTGTATATAAAGATATTCAGTAGTATATTAAGTATCAGCATTGCACCCTTGCGAAGCTGAGGCCGTTCGCTAGTATTTAATATACTGAAGACGATCAAAGTTATCAATATACCATGTGAATCGATATATATTTTTTATAATTCATTTATCTCAATTGTAAGAAGCTTTTCCCATCATTTAATGTACTGGTTCATTTCTCAATTAAAAATCTTAAAACTCTCTGAACTCACATTAAAGTTCGACACAACTGAGAATGTCCTAAAGCCCTAAAGTACTAGAATTAAAATTCGAATTACTTAATATACTGCTGATAGTTAGTAGTATTTTAGAAACAACGAAATTTGATTGTTAATAGTACATTATTTCTTTTTTACAGATTACTCTTCTAAGTGTTACAAGTTCTCTTCTTGTAGCCCAAGAAGTTGGCAGCAATGAAAAATCAAAGCCGGCCGTTCCGTCGCCTTTGGAGTTGGACAAAGAACCTCTTGCTTCCATTATCAACTATTATTCGACATCGCAAAAACCTACAGCTTTCAAAACCAGCATAAATCCCCGCATTCGATCTGTCTCAAGTCCCCTTGTTCACAAGTCCTTACTAAAATCACCCGCAACGACTCCACCATCGTCTCAAATAATCGGGTTTGGCCCTTTGACCAGTCAGGTCTCGCCATCTTTTTACAATTCGAAGCCGTTCCAGACGAAGGGGCTCTCTACCTATGGAAAACTGAGCAACAGCGTTCAACCATCGTTAACTAAACCAATCGTCAGTACAAATAAAAACAAAAGTTCGAAAAATTTTGATGTCAACAGCACTACTCCATTTTCGTTGCCACGGTCTCCCACGACCTACAGCTTCATATTACCCATCATCAAATATAAATCAACAGAGCCAAGCAAGTCGAAATCATCTTACAAATCTGATAAATTAAAAAGCAGTTCAGCTCCGAAAGCTGTTCTGGGATTACCGTCGCTCAAATCGACGCTTTATACTGGTGATTTCGGTAAAAGTTCTGCACTTTCACCAACGATTAAACAACCATCGAGAGATTCCGGTGCGACTAAGTCATTCAAACCTTCATATGCAATCGTCACTCCGATATACAAAGGTTCAAAGGACAAAAAGGTCAATTTAACATCTAGCGAATCAAAATCAAATAGTTCAAAGACCGGCGGGTTTCCAATCAAATCGGCCTCAAGCAATGGAGGGAAGAAACCTCAGGCCGCTGAGTCAGCCGTTGATAGCAAAGTCTTTTTCAATATCCCTTTTATTGCCCTTAACGTGGACAGTATAGAATCTAAAGGAGATAGTAAAGGTAATTATGCCCCGTACTTTACAACAGCTCCTTTAATATCCCGATCTAATGAAGCAAGTCCTGAAAATCAGGAATATATACGGTGGGCATTCCCCAGGTACGAATTGCCATCGCAATCGAACGCGCCTGACGTTTCGCACGAGAATGAAAACAATTCGAAGGAGAAGGTGTCGTCCGAAGTGACTGGTTCACAATTTGAATATTCCGCAAAACATGGCCTACCTTTCTACGGGAAAGTGTTACAGCCAAAACCTTTTGAGGTGAGTATTCTGGGCATGCCTGACTTTGGCAAATACGTTGAATCGGCAATTAGAAATGCCAAACAAAATATTGTCCATGACAAAGATGGAGAAAATGTGGAGAAAAACGTAAGTGAAGCGGACGAGAATCAATCAGGCGATAATAACAACAAAGAAGAAATTAAAACACCCAACCAAATATCAAAAACTAAGATCCCACTTATAAAAAAATCACCGGCTCTTTCTAAATTAAAGGAAGATTACAAACAGGGCAGTAAATATTACCATCACGATCCCCAAGACTCTCATGAAATACACCATAACAAAAAATACAAATGGGTAAACGGTAAAATAGTCCCCAAATGTCGAAAATTACCATCTTCGCCCTATCCCAACGTCGTTGTTAAAAATCTCCCGCACAACATTGCCAAAGATCGCCACAATTCCGACGGTTCACACCATCATCACCATTACCACCACCATGAACATCATGAAAAGCAGAAAAATCCAGGCGAAAAGGGGAAGGAAAGTGAAAACAATTCAAAAGTAATAGATTCAGCGCATCCATTAAAAAAATCAGAAAAAAATAGAAATAAAGATTCAACTGAAATCATTGAGAAAATTCGGCAAGACTTGCAGGGAGGAAAGAAACCCATCCTGGAAGACGCTGAAGTGCTTTTTCCAAGTGATTTAAGACCGAGAAACAAAACAGGTCAAAAAGACAAAAGCAACGAGTCCCAAAAGGCGGATAGGAGCAACGAATCGCAGAATGCGGAGAAATCAACCTCTAAACAAAACGACAAATCGACAGAAGACGACCGCAAATCATCCAAAAAAGGTTACAAAGTAATAGAAGAATCACGCGAAAAAGATAATAAGAATGCCGTGAAAGAGAAGGAAAGCTCCGAAACAAGAAAAGCCAGCTCAGAGAAAGATCGTACAAAAGAAGAAGGAGAGAGCACCAAGGAAGAAACATCGAAAGAGTCGAAAGTAAACAAAGGAAGAAACGACGAAAATTCATCGAAAAATGCAGAAGCCAAAGCGGAGGAAGAAAAACGTAAAGAAGAGGAAGCTAGAAGAGAAGAAGAACTGAGAAGGGAAGAAGAAGCTCGTTTAGAAGCGGAAGCGGAGGAAAGGGAGAAAGAAATAGAACGTGAGATTTTGGAAGAGTTCAAAGCCGTATTTCCGGATATTTCAAGTTTAAGTGACTTCGACGACGATCAAGAGTACTACGGCAGATCGAGTCGAAGGGATCGTTCTTCGTCAAGGGAGAAAGACGACTCGCGGGAAGACCGAGAGTCTGCCCGTGAAGACGACAGTGAAGACGAAGACGAAGATACGTCCAAGGTCAAATCTGACTACGCCGAACAGGACGTCCACGATGACTTGAAACATCCGTATACAACGTACATGGACAGGGACGAACGTAAAAAGAGTAAGAAAACAAAGTTCGGCACCCCAAGATACGGTTCTCGATCTCGATCGAAATCAGCCAAGCTGTCTCAACGGGATTCCGATGAGGAACTAGACGATGACGACTTCTTCAAAGGATGGCATACGGAGTGAATGTAGGTGGCGGAAGTGGTCTACTAAAGTTACACATACATATGTACGTAATAATTGGTTGCATCGAACCCAAAAAAAGTACTTTGTGCAGTACAGTGCGAAGTGGAACGAGGATTTGATTGTCGCAGTGGAAAATTAATACTGAATATGTAAATATGGTTTTGTCAAATATTGTTGGACTATAACTCGCGGGGAGGCTGGTGTTGTTCAGAAAGCTGAATAATTATTATTGTTTTATACTACTATTGATATTTTAGGTAGATTTATAAGTAAATATAGAAAAACGACATCGCAAGTGTTGTACTATTCTGTTTCTTTTCTAATAGACTATTTGTTTTCGTTTTTGTTATGTATTTTGTACAGCCATATACCAGTAATAGTGCTGTCATTGTTGCAACTTAAATTAACATTAGTTTATCTGTTGTTCTGTTTTTGTACGAAGAATAAAATGAACTAATATTTTATTACAACATTTGTTTGACAAAGTTTTCAATTCTCCTAGAGTTTGTATGCTATATAACGCTAGAGCGACATAATATGCATGGTGTGCTGTATTAAGTTTTTCACGAATATAATAAATATAGCAATATACTAAGCAGTTTTTGTTAATATTCTATCAGTTATGGCATACAAGAACACCAACAGCGTCGTCGTGATTATTTTCATTCAATATTATATTTTACTTTCTCTCAAAAGAAATCTTTCACAATAATTCGTTTGAGTTTTATATTTTTTGCTTCTTCTTGGCGCCATTTCTTACTTCTCCTAAATAAACAACACTTAATGCAGTGGATAAGACCAAACACAAACTATTTATTTGCTGGGTAAGTAGATAAAATGTTGTAAAATTGCATATAAGTCCGCATAATAAAGGAAGTTCGAGACTCTTCCAGAAAAATTAAGATTTAATCTGGAAAATTCAATAATAATAGATAAATAAATAAGTAGTGTCTAACGTATATCACACAATGATAAATAAAGTTAATTTCAATTTAGAATAGAATAGTATAGAATTTCCTACGTTAAAAAAAGGAATTCAAGGTTTCGGATGGATCAATTGTGTTGATAGACTTTATCACTATTATTATTATGGTTGCAACTGATGATAACGTCGACAATTTTTTTCTAGCTATCGAGTTGTTTAAAACAACTGATAAGAGTGTCTTTTAATTCATAGTGAATTTTGCATATTGTAAATAGCGGTTTTTAGTGACGCTTTTTAACGATTCGCGTTCAAGTGCATTTCACCCGTAAAAAATCGTTACAAAAAAGCAAAAGGTGAAAAAGCAGTAAACGTTGTTAAAGACAAAAATCCACAGCTGTCCTACAACATAATAAAGCAGTATTACAATCGCATAAACCACTTAGTATTGTTCTGGTTGTCTAACCGCAACGTTGTAACGACCCCATTCGAAATCTATAAGAACAAGCTCTTAAAAACTGCGGCGTGAGAGGCCATTATATGAGTAGCGGTCCTTCAGAAACGTTGTCACAATTTTATTGTGTTTGCGGGAATCGAAACGCAACAATGCTATCTACCGTCCATCGGAGTGGAAATAAATTAACGTAAAGTCACAATTTTTGGGGTCGATTTTTCGAGATTTCGAAACGATGATAAATAAATAAGATCGTGCAGTTACAAGTCCACTTGAACGCATTTTATACAACCGTCCAACTTGTAGATGCCTACATGTTTGGTGGTTGTAAGGGCTAATTATAACGTATAAAATGATTGTGGGAAGTCCCCGGGTGACAACCTACTTGTTCCGCTATTGTACGATTATTTGCTACACGGTTTTAACTCGGCTTTCACTTGACAATGAGACAGATGGTCGATTTCCAAAACAAAAAGAGAGAAGGCACTTTGCCACACTGTTTAAAGGTTTTGTGGTAATTGTGCAGTTTAGAAATTTCAACTTAACTCTTTTTAAGAACTAATTACTTAGCTTAGGTACTTACATTCCGCTCGAAAGTTAACAATTCGACAGCACAAAAAAGCCGGCGAAAAATAAGTCACGTAACTGCGACTTTCGATACTATTAATTTAAGATTTAATTTGATAATTATTTTTGAGTATTTTCTAAAGGAAATTAAAAAAAATCAGCAAGTAAGGTTTCTTACTAAAATGGCCCAAGTCTTTTAAAATAATTCGACTACATTAAAGTTAAGATTAGACTAACATATTTTCATGATGTGTTTTGGATCATCCCAATACATACAGTAAAACTCGGTTATAACGTATCTATCCGAGAGAGCCTTAAAAATCCTTCGTTATCTCAAAAGTTTATTAAAAGAAACATAAACACACATGTTTACAGTCCTTCGTTATAACCGAGAGTACGTAATAAACGTGTACGTTATAAATGAAATTTACTGTGTATACCTACATTTAGATCGCGTATCGCTTCGATTTCAAAACAACAAGCAAACAAATGTATAATGTAATGGAGATATTAATAATTAAAAATTAGATTCTGTAAGTTATTGTAATATATTTTAGTGCCGTAAATAAAATTACCTACGTGATGAATATGTAATCCTTTATTTAGGGTACAACAAAATACTGATTTTATTCTTTCAACCGTAACAAAATCCAGTTGTAAAGCCCGTTATCAATAGGTTATCTCCAGAAACAATTTAAGTCGGCTTGCGTATCAGTTTTGTGGACAATGCTCTGTAAACTACTCGTTTAAATAGGTATATATAATGTTTAATGTTCATTCCATTTTCAATAAAAATCATGTCACAAAACGGTTAATTTCTAATTTCACCTGTACCCTCATGACTGACGCATAAATTACGATCTTTTTATTTGTAATTGTTGCCGCAACCGGTTGAAAGTTATGAATACCACGTGCTTATTTAAGCGATTAGATAGTAGCGCATCAGTACACATTTAATATCGGTTAAATACGACAAATACTTATGCGCAAGTGTCTATTCAATACTAGAAAAATGATTCTAAAGGATCAACTCATATCTTTTAATTCTACTCAACCTATATTCCAAGAATTATAGAAACAGGAGCATAAACCTTAATCTACATGGAGTCAACTAAGAGAGCCTGCAAGTTGTCCTCGGTGGTTCGCTGCGCAGTAAGACAGGGCGCATCCCCTTTGACGCATGGGCCTATGACAACTGACAGTATCAAAACTGCAATTGACAGTTGACAGTTGACAATTGACAATTGACAGTTGAAAGTTACGCACAATTTTATTCTCAATGCACTAAAACAGTAGATATAATTTCAAAAACTTCCCATATATTTCTATAACGGCGATATCTGTCTTTCTTATTTTATTTACCACACAATGTGGCTGAGCCATAAGTACAAGCAGATATGCACTTTTCACCCCTTTACAATTTGTGTCTTTATGTGGTCACAGGTGTCTACTTAAGTACATATACGAGCGTATAGGATTTGTTGCTTGAATATGAAGAACAATCGATTGGTCCATAAGCGCTCTTATAAGTACTTCTTCCAGGACCAATTCGCCCCCTTTTTGAAACAAAATCCGCAACAGCGACAGCGTCCTAAACGTATTACTATTGTTTTTTAAGAGGTCTAAACAATGCGTAACACTAAACTACTGTTAATAATGCCGTGCATAATAACAATGGATGAATGAATAGGTATTAGCATTGTCGTGAGAATATTGTTGCTCTTTATTGGACAAGGTGTAGGTACATCTGATCTATACATATATGGCTATAAACAGTTCTTATACGTTAAGGCTAAATATGTTAATAAACTGGATTATAAAGTGATCAAAAAATATAAGTAGCTATTAAAAACAGTATTTAAAACAAAAACACACCAATGATCTTATAATATCAATATTCATCTATTCTCTTAAATAACTTNTATAAAAAAAAAATATATTAGAGACCCTTCCCGAAATAAAAATGTTCAGTCTCTCAGAGTCTCTGAAAGCGAGAATCGAGCATCCGTCTCTCATCGAGCCTCTCAGGTGTTGCTGAGAGAAACTGTCGAGAGACTCTCCAAAAACAACCCCCATGTTCAAAATTAACTTATTTACGTTATAGGTATATTGAAATTTTAAGGACTTCCACATGAATAAACTCCTGTTGTAAATAAACTTCGCCTATTTTTAATATCTGTTTCTAAAAATTTGTGTGTTCCGTTTTATAACTCATTGGATGACAAATCGCCGAGCTTACGCTAAAAAAGGATTATTTAATTGATGTTTAATGTAAATAAATTAATAGTGGAGGATATACCGTCTACTTTTTGTTTGTTACATGTCGTCAATCGTTAGTTTTCTTTTAACAATTACCATGAGTCGGCATTCATACGTGACTTGAACGCAATATTCGACACGCCGTGCCGTCGATAGTGAATGAATGAATACGAGAGACTTAAATTCTGTTATTTAAACTATTTTTCTTTAATACAATAACATACCAGACAACGACTGATCAAATAATTACTGAAACATTTCATTATAGATAATCCAGATTCTATTTAACAAGAATGGCAAATATAATTAAGACAGATGAACAACTTAGCAGTTGGAATCTTTATTAATTACTCTGTGCGTAACTTATTTGGTCTTTACTTGGATTTAAAACGAAAATAAGGGTTTGATTTTAATTATTGCTATAAAACGTAATTATGTAAAATTATATCATATTGGATTTATAGTCAGACTCGTAACAGGAATCTCTTAAATCTCTTCACCATAGAAAGTTTACATATATTTATACATATATAAATTACGCATTTCCAATTAGTAAAATATAACGATAATCATAAAAATACCCCAGATAAACTTACAATCAATTTTTCTTGATCACAACTGTGTCTTTATTTAATTGAAGAATCGACATTGAAGGTTACCTTAGAGACGAAGGAATATTTTTTAACTTTTAATCGATTTTGGTCATTTTTTTTTAATTTGCAGCCAATTACTAATATTAAGTCTTAATTGACGTCGAACTTAACGCATTTAATAATAGTACCCTTGGATTAGTTCGAA